GAGAGCAATGAAAGATGTGTTCAGTGATTTCTCAAATGTGCCATGAAAAGAAAAATCTTGAAAGGTGCCCTTCACCTCAGCTCGCACCACCTCCCAACTCTCCTTAAGAAACCGCATAGTAAAACCCATCTGCCTTGGAGCTTTGTCCCCGTTACAACTAGAAAGTGCCTTAAGCACTTCCTCCTTCGTAAATGGAGTCTCAATCCTATCACTATCCAACGCAGAAATAGAATTAAAAGGAAGACCATCAACAATCGGTCTCCAATCCAAAGTCTCAGTGTAAAGCTGCTAATAAAAAGAAACAATCCCCCCTCGCACCTCGTCCTCCCCCCACAACTCAGAACCATTGACCCGGATTTGTCCGATGTGATTACATCTTCTGTGAGCGTTGGCAAGTCAATGAAAGAATTTTGTATTATGATCCCCATATTTTAACCACAAAGCCCGAGACTTCTGGCGCCACGAAATCTCCTCTATAAGAGCAATCTCAGCAAAAACCGCTTGGCAAGAGGCTCTTTTAAAGCGTAATGATTCCCCACTCTGTCCCACCTCATCAAGACGATCAAGCTCAGCAATATCAGCAAGAACTCTATTCTGTTTCCATTCAAGATTCCCAAACACTTCTTTATTCCACCTCTTTAACTCAGTTTTAAGAAACTGAAACTTTCTAGCTAACACATAACTAGCAGAGCCTGTGAAATTCGCTTCCTCTCACTAAGACTGAACCTTACCTTGAAAGTCCTCGGATCTAAGCCACATGTTTTCAAAGCGGAAAGGAGTGCGTCTAGAACTCAAACCACCACAATCAAGAACTAAAGGCACATGATCAGATGTGACTGTAACCAGAACAACCTGAGAGACATCCAGGAAATGCTCTTCCCACGCCCCAAAAATCAGAAATCTATCCAACCGGGAAAAAGTAACTGGTTCCCTACCATTAGACCAAGTAAAGGCCGCTCCTTCCAATGTTAGGTCGATGAGGAAATTACTATCAATGAATTCTGAAAACATAGTCATTTCTGAGGACCACCTGCCCCCTGTGGATCTCTCAAATGGGGACCTAACAGAATTAAAATCACCACCTAAACACCAAGGCAATGACCATAAATCCTTAACATAGCAAAGCTCTTCCCACAGGACTGGTCTATCACTATTAGTAACAGGCCCATAAACACCTAAAAACACCCATCTGAAATTGTCTTCCTCCATCTGAAACATACAAGACACAGAAAAAATACCCTTCCAGCAATTCAAACTTGACAACCACCTACGATCCCACATGAGAAGAATACCACCTGAAGTGCCTGTTGCATTCAATACTTCCCATTCCATAAACCTACCTCCCCAAAGACTCCTGACAATCTCAACGGTGATAGCAGCCATCTTAGTTTCCTGTAAACAAACGACATGGGCACTCCACTTCCTCAAAGCTACCTTGACAACTCTTCTTCTTTTCGGATCATTTAGACCCCGGACATTCCATGTTATAAGTCGTAGCTTCATGTAGAACCAAAAACGATCAATTCTCCTCCTCCCCGTTTACCACTTCTGGTTCTTCCCCTTTCTTTGGTCATCCCATTCTTCCCGTCATAATTAACACAAGAAATCAGATTCTTCACTTCCTGTTCGCCTCTCTGATGTGAATTTCTGACTTTGATTTCTTTTGTGCCACGATTAGATTCAGTACTACCAGTTCCTGTAACAATTTCGTGAAGAATAGACAAGGTTTGTACTTCATACCCTTCTGAAGAGACACCCAAAGCTTCACTTACTGCTCCAATATTCTCGATAACCCATTCCATGCCCAGATCAATGGTCGTATCCAAACAATCTGGCCGTACAACTGCCAGAGGTTCCATTAAATCCACTTCAGATTGATCAAAATCCGTCCCGGAAAAAGAATCTTTAGAACAGTGCTGCTGAGAAGAAACATCAACCACTCCTAACTGCATATTCCCCTCTGTTTCCGAATCATCATGTTCAGTCGACAAAATCACCTCATTCGCAGATGATTGACTGTTCAAACCTTCAAACGCAGCAAAGAGCCGAAGCTCTTTAAGCAAAGCTACAGCTGAGTCATTATTGAACTTGAAGTGCAGATCTTTCCCAACGCAAACTGTCAGTCCATTGAAACAACCCACACTCCCAGTTATGGCTTTGAGACATCCAACTCTGACCCATCACAACATGAACCTGAAGACCCAATAGGGCCCCTCTGTTGAATCAAAACATCCTCCACAACATCCCTATTATTCACCTCTCCACCCGAAGGAGGAGGAGTAGAAGTAGAGAGAGCATTTTGAGAATGATCAGAACTCAAACCTGAAAATGAAGTGTGAGCTCGTGCAACCCATTTCTGTTTTTCATTCCGAGACTACCAAGATCCATGGCGACCGACATCCATCATCCTCTGCTCAGGTTTCAGCAAATGAGTCGAAGGCTTAGCATGGGCTTGTACTTCTTTAAATGGCTTAGCGCCAGGTTTGGTGTTTGGGAGAGAGACAAATAAAGAGTTTGGCCATTTTCGCACCCTTCTATTAGGCCCATATCTAATAGGCCCAACCTGAGTCCGCCCACTTGGCCCGAATATAAGCGGCCCTTTCTGTACCGGTCGAAAAGGCCTAGAACCAAAATTCGCTCTATTGGGTTTAGGCTGAATGAGCCCAAGATCAAGACCAAGCCCAATCCTGGCCTGTCTAGATATCTTTTGGCCCATCACATCGCCATCCTCAGCCCAAAGAGACAAATCTTCCCCTACCTTATCATCAAGAGATAAGGATAAGGCCGAATCAGGAGGAGCGCCCCGACGTTCTCCACATGTACTGCTCCTCTGCTCATCAATGACACGTTTGGCCGGCGCGTGAAGATCACTTCATCTTCTACCTCCTATGTACTTCACTGCTTGCTGAATTTCGAGAACCCCCTCTTTTCCTTTACTGAGAATCTCATTCCATTTCTCTTTCGACATAAGATGAGATCCGTCACTACCTTCAAGACTCTCCATTGAAGGAACAAGCTCCGGCGAGATTTCTTCCCAAATCGCGATACAGAAGGTGTCATCATTAATAAACACGAACTTTGGACATTCACGGCCGGATCTCACTGTTATCCGAACGCTTTCGGCATCCCTAGTCTCATCCGCATTAGATCTCACGTATCCACCACAAAGCTCTCCCACTTCGACGAATAAAGCATGACACCAGAGATGCAAAGGGAGGCCAAACAGCCTGATCTGCTTGAGACCTTTATCACTAAGAACGCCACAACACCCAACACGGAAGGACCACACGTCGATCCTCAAAGTTGCAGAACCCCACTGTCGTCGCCCTTCTTTCAACACGCATTTGGCCTCTGCCTGAGAAGGAAACCGGAAAAGAAGCAGTGAATCGGATAACGGTGTTACCCCCACTCCACAAGTTGTATTCCAAGCCCGCGTTGCCCATTCTTTCACACGATCACAGCTCCCCACTTCCTCATCAAATCTTCCGACCAAACAAGAGGCAAGGACAGACTTCCTTCCTCCGACGGACTCCCCGTCAATATACAACGACGGTCCTCGGGGAGGAACTGCCGACTTCACTTCCCCACCAAGCGAGATTCTTGATAATCTTGCAATTTCCAGAAAGGATTTCATCCCAACCTAACAAAACTCAAATCGCCCCTAGTGTGGTGAAATCGCACATAGTGACGTCATTGTATCATTAATCACCCATTTTGCCCTTTTCAACTGATTTTTATATTATAACAATTAGATTTAGAACGTAACAATATGAATCAGTTATAGTGAGAAAATATAAATAAATCAAACACATAAAAACACACGACGTGGGTTATCAGTTTTCCAAACCGTAGAGATCCCCTGGTTTTCCAAATCATAAAGTTTTGGGCTAGTTATTTAAAATCATGGGTTGATTAGTGCAAACAAGAATAATTAGTGGGTTTAGGTGCATTGAATGTGGCCCCCAGATATATAATTGCAACCGGCAAACCCTACTCTAAGTACTCTTGGTGCAACAATGCCTCTCCTCTCTATCAACTCAGTCTGCGAAACCCTAATCTTCCTGCGGTCATTTTCTCTCATTCCCTTCCTTTCTCTCTCAAACTTATGAATGTAGGTCTTTCATTTTGTGGGTTAAATTTCTTGGAAAAAAATCTAAGACGAGGACAATTGCTATGGACAGGAGTGAGGGATTTGTAAGAAACAAAAGGGTTCTTGATTTTGGTTTTCCCATCATAGTACATTTCTTCTTTTTGGCCCATAATTTTCACTCGGATCTGATTCGACTTGAACATTAATGGGTCTTTGTGATTTGTTACGATGGCATGACGAATTAGAGAAAAGGGAGATCTTCTATTTCAAATTTTGCCTTTTTATAAAATAATGGGGAATGAGAGAGAGAGAGAGAGAGAGAGAGAGAGGAATGGATTGAGTCGTGCGAGTTTGGGTTGACCCTTATATCCAATCCAGTTTAAAGTTGCGGTTGATTGCAGGTCAATCGGGTTTAGTCGACCGATCTACGCCCAACTCGCTTAATGTGGGTCAATATGGGTTCATGACCCCCCTTTTGACCCAACCATTTTTTACCCAAACCAACCTGCCAAGATCCACCCATCTGCAAGGCTTAATTCAAAACATCTCTTCCATAAATCAGAATATGTATGCATTTCCCCCTAAATGAGTTTATGATAAGAAAGCGTGACTACAACCCCTAATTGGTGAATTAATTATTGAAGAGGAGATTTTAGCTTTTAACTCTTTAATGTATCTCCAAATTTTAATTCTGCCATTGGACATAGGTACAACCACTAACTAACTAATTAAAATGACTCTTAATAATAAAACAAAAGTTACAGACTTCGGCTTTTGTTATGAAATTTGCCAACAGAAAGAACTAATCCTCACAAACCCTAACGAAACGAGAACTTTACAAAACTAGATCATTGGCAAAGCAGTAGACTCTTATTTCTAACTGGACAAGAATTCTACAACCCAAACAAACCTGGTTGCAAACTGCACAAAACCACATCCTTTAGTTGCAGGGATCTTGACATAAATAATTTCTCCAAACTGCAAAAAGATTGGCCTCAGTTCCTCTTCTGTGACGTTAGGATCTAGATTCCCAATATAAACCTGCAAAGGGGAAAGGTAGTTAAGAGAAAGAAATAAGACATATAAAGCCCAAAATACGTAAAAGTGTTGGACTTACTATAGTGTTATTAATATCATTGTCTACCGGGATTGTCTGCACTGCTGGAGCTGGAGCGTAAGCTGCAGCTGGATATAAGGCTGCCAAGGCTACCACAATGTTAGTTCATGCAGTGTCTAGACATATAGAAGTTACTAAAGTATCAACTAATGCATGAGAATTATGCATCTGGATGCCAGGTCCTTCCCTCATTCCAGGACTTAATGTCCATCAAGCATGTTAATGTATCCTCAAAGCCCCATATAAAGACAAATCAGAAGTTATTTGTACTGGTGTTATAAAATTATCACCAATATATCATTATACCTCAAGATTATCAACAAAATATAAATAATTTCAATAAACCATCAACATATAAGAAAATTATTTTTTGGTTTTGTTGGAAATTGTGTCTCATCAAATTCCTATTCTAATTAGGATTCTATTTTAGAGTTGTATTCTATTAGGTAATTTCTTATTTGGTAAGTTTTGGCCTCTAAGGAATTGTAATCCTTGTCCAACAAGGAATTATGTTTGTAACTCTATAAATAGGTACATATGTTGTGGGTTGAGACTTATGAGATGGAGAGAGATGTAGTCGAGGTACTATATGGGTTGGTACAGTAGGAAAAACACCGGTAATACCGGTAGCGAGGAAATAGGCTCGTGGAGTGGTGGTGTTGATACTCTATTGTTGTAATATCTCTACGAATCATAGTGGAATCTCTTCTCATCCATGGACGTAGGCCAGTTTTGGCTGAACCATGTATATCTTGCGTTAGTGTGTGATTGCATTGTTGACTGTCTTTGAATCTTTCTTATTCGCGCGCTTCCGCTGCCCCAACAGGTTTCTTATTTGTAGTCATGTTTAAATTTCTTATATTGCCAAAAAATTTCATCATAAATTTGAAATCATATTTGAATTTCTTTTATTGCCATAAAGTTTTATTTATTAAAAAATATAAATATTGCCATAAAGTTTCATCATTATTGATCTCAGTATCTCCTTTATCTGCATCATAATTAAACACTGTTGTGCTCTTACATTTTTATATGCTTAATAGGCAATTATGTTCTCTTAGAGCGCACAAAAATTTAAAACCAAATTATCCGAGAGTTGGTACCAACTAAAAGGTATCTATCTAACAGGGGGAATTAGAGATAATTTCCAAAGTTGTGAAAGGATTGTAAGGTAGTCATACAGAGTCACAAAATTAAAATATATATAAATAAATGTTACGACAAACACCGCAAACCAAGAACAAATCAAGAATCATGACAAAAAAGTAAACACGCCACACAAAGAATACAAAGATTTATGTGGTTCGGCAAAGCCTATGACCACAGTGAAGATCTAGCAAAAGATTTCACTATGCGAAAAAACATAGAGATTACAAGTTTCAGCCCCCAAACCTAGCTCTCTCTCACTCTCTCTCTCCTATGGTTTTCAGTGCTCTCTTGTTATCCCACTCCAAACCCTGAACGCTCTTATATACCAAGCTACAAGAGAGAATTAAACAGGATCTAAGAACCGCAAGAGAAAAATGTGTCAAAAAAAAATTCGGGAGCAGTCAAAACCGTGTCCCGTTGGCCGAAACAAAATTCGGGCCACAACATCACAATATATATCATCATGAAATGTATATAAATGGGCTATTTTTAATTTTATGGTCTTAAGTACTATGAAGATGCATCTTAGTTCGAATGATATATTAATTAAAACTTATAATAGTAGCCAAAATTTAATCAAAAAAAAGACAACCAAGAAAGAGGGTGTGGGGGGATGAGAATGCAATAGAATTGTATCCAAACTCAAAATTATTTTGAAGATCCATCGCAAAAAAGAGGGCAAAGGATATGGATCGTAGTGGCAGAACACTAACTGCACTGTGACTGCTAAAGTGCTTTTAAGAGAATATTAGCTGATTTGAATCAGGATCACCCCCTTGGAGTAAAAACAGAACGTTACTAGAATTTGTATGAACAAATTAAGGAAAGGAAGGATGAAACAACCTTTCAAATAGACAAAATCACACAACAGATTACAAGAATAAATGTTCTAACAGATCCTCCACAACCTCATGTAAAGCCATCTATTTTCACAAGGAAATGAATGACTAATCTGCAAGATGGGTTTACGTTTTTTCTCTCTCTTTTCTTGGTGGTTGACATTGTTTACTTTTACAACCATATAAGTTGATGTTACCTTTAGCTGCTGCATATTGCTGTTGACCACCAGTCGTTTTCTTCGGTGTTGCTGCACTAATACGCATTGGCCTTGTCGAACAATAGACACCATTCATTTCAGACATGGCACGGTTTCTTTCGGTCTCATCAGCAAATTTAACAAAACCATATCCCTTTGAGCGTCCAGTAGTTGCATCAGTTACAACCTTGGCACCTTTAACAGATGGATAATGAGTCCGAAAGGTCTCTTGCAACAAGTAATCCGTGACATCAGGTGCCAAGTCCCCAACAAAAATAGAATGCTCAGGCCCAGCATCAGGACGTCTCTCTCCAATCCCAAAAGATGCCCAATTTAACCTAAAAGTATGTTCAGTCCCAGGCATTTGTGTCCCATTGTATGTCAGCAGAATCCTCTCAGCTGCTGCGTGTGAATTAAACTCCACAAACCCATAACCTTCTGGCTGCCCGGTGATCTTGTTACGTATTATTTTTATTGAAACCACCTGCATAGAATTAGATAGCCCATTTAATTTATGCAATATTACATTAACTAATTAGCATTCCATTATCCTATCCCGAAAATAGGATAACAATAACAATAATAATAATAATAATAATAATAATCATAATAATAATAAAACAAAACAAAACAAAATTTGTTTCCATTCAGAATCATGAAACGGGAAGCGTCGTGTGCCACCATAAAAGGATTGGCATAGTAGTAAGCTTTTTCTCCTAATATTTCAATGTTCAGATATTGCAAATCAATCACCATGTTTCAACCAACTTCTTTTTCCTTGAATGGAACCTAGCACAAGGAAACCTTGGCAAGAAACTAACACACACCCAACTTTTGCCCCTATGGGGACTTGAATCCTCGACCTTCTACTCTGGAATGGGAGGAAGTACCACTGACTGGGCTACAGCCCTTGAAACCTGTAAGAATTAGGTGCTACTAATTCCAGTTCCACTACAGTTCCACTAGAATCTTTGGATGCATACCAAGATTTAAGGCCCATAACAGTTTAAAGAAAATATGTATTTCAGTTGAAATAATAGAAGCCAGAGATTTGGTGGGGGTGGGGGGGTGGTAGGGTGGGAGAGAGTTGTCTACACTCCATAAATTTTTACTGCTAGCTAGTCTAAGTGACATTCAATATCTCGTATCTTTTCAGAGGAATATATCTGTGTTTGATTTTTCTTAGACTTTCCTTTCCTTTTCTTTTTTCTTTTTTCCTTTTTCTTTCTTTTTTATAAGTGATTTTTTTTAGAACTTTAAAGAAAGATAAAAGAATCATCAACCATTCTAGTGTAACTATGTTTCTTTCAAACTAAACATATATGATTACAAATTCAAAATTTTGAAAATAAATAAAATAAAAACTACGCCATGCAGGACCATTGCACCAACCATTGCTTGGTGCACTGATAAATGCTTGGGCTGTCAAGTGCAAGAATGTGGGTTTGAATCCCGAGAGAAATCACTTTGTGTAATTCACAATACGTCGGGTAGACCCTTCAAAATAAGCCGAGTGCGAGCACAACTTTAGGGCCATAAAACAAGCCAAACCGTAACATGCCCAGGCTTGGCTCACCCCAGCTTGTGAACTAGAAATAGATTGTACTTCTAGCTTTAACTCATCAGGAATATTACGATGAATGGTCGATCACATTATAACTTTCCAGTAGGCTCCTGTTCTTCCATGTCTACCAATTCAGCGACGTTAAATAAATAAAATCTGAAGGTCCAAATCCACCAAATTCTAAGCTTGTTCTCGTTCTAACTTCTAAGCACCCTACCTAAGCCATCAAAACTATACCGCATTCCTCTTTAACCAAAGACTCAAACACCTTTAAAAGACCTCCATTATTGGAGGTAGTTTAAGTGATTTTCATCAAAACAAGGACTTTACGGGCTAATTCAACCAGAAAGATCTCGCACGCAAGCCAGGAGAGCCTGATCTTACAAGGAATACATGCATACTCATGTCCCACCTCTCACACTTGGGTGAAGAAATATCACTAAAGCTAAGACTAGGTGCTTAAGATCTTTTCTTTGTATAACATATCTTGCAAGGAATTTAGTGTTGATATTTTTTGTTCCATGTAGCTAGAACGACTTTGATTTTATTATGTATGGGTTTTTTTATATCTATTATCCCCGATATTTCAAAGCTGCAGTTCTCTTTATTTTATTTTTCCTATTATTATTTACTTTCTTTTTTCTTTTTTCTTTTTTTTGCCTTAGAATTGAGGCAAGCCAGTCCGTGCCAAGGTCACACTCATCAAAACTACGTCAGCCAGGTCAGGTTACATAACATGTTTAAGACTTTTCCAGGTCCAAGCCAAAGCTTGAGCACACACCCAACCTGACCAAGTCGAGCCCAAACAGCATAGTACTCATCTCGGCTCAATTAATTGTGTTAAAAACAATTCCACATCATCAACAAAAAAGGAAAATTCTCCATGGAGTTGCAAAGAAATTCAGAGGAGAAGGAAAAAAATGGATTTTAAGGATTATGTTGCTTTGGTTTTCTATTAAATGAGAAACTCACACCATGGTTCTCCAACTTGGCTGAGTCGCAAGAGAATTGACCTCCAACAATACGGAGTTGGGACGATAGAGAGGGGAGAGTCCACACTCGCTCGTGACACGGGATGAGTCGGAAAGGAACCAGCGAGTATTGGGGTGACTTGGGGCAACTCATGGTGCCTTGGGCAATGGAAGCTCGCCAACACAGGGAGTCGGCTGTGATGATATAAAATGAAGACTTAACTCATTTTACACCATTTTCTCACCCTTTATTCTCACTCTACCAGCATTCTCTCTCTAACTTAGAAAAAAAACTTAAATTTGAGCCTCAAACATCAAAATCAATAAGATTTAGCTTAGATCTTAAATCAAATACACCACGAACAAGACTTAATCAGAGAGTTTTCATATTTTTTCTTCCACGTCACTCCTAGTATTGTATTAGTCCCTTTTTTTTTTTTATAAGTAGTATTGTAGTAGTCCCTTCTCACTTGATACTATGCTGATGATAACCTATTAATGTGTTTTAAGTGATAATTTTTTAGTTATTTCATGTTAAAGTCCACTATTTCTCGATAAGTGATAACCTACTTATCAAAAAAAAAAAAAAAAAAAAAAAGTCCATTATTTCTCATTAATTTAGTAACAAGTCTAAATTATTAAACATTTATTGCCAACAGCGATTTAAAATTCATGTATAAGTCATTATTTGCATTAAATGATCTTTAAAAATTCAATAAAAATAATTAAAATTCATTAAAAACACATATTTATTCGATTATGTAGTAGAAATTTGTGTATCAGTATGTTTTGGGCCTATGTGCGAGGTTAAAAAAATTCACAACCACAGCACCAGATTTCGTTACGTTTTGCCCTATACTAGCCCCGCGTCCGCAATTGCAAACCAGGCTTCACACCAACTAAACCAAATAGTTAGATAAGCTTAGTTAAGGGTAATTTAGTTTCATCAGGCTCCATGTAGTAAACTCGTAGGGTCCAATAATTGATCCTTTCTTTCCTACCTTATTACTATGTTGTGCATGTATTCAATTCTTTTGGAAAATAAAATGATTTTCGTAGATGAGTTCTAAGCATCTGATTTCAACGCCTTTTCCTGAAAATCCTTCATAGAAAAAGATGCCTTTATTACCATCACAACTCTTTCACACACACCGCCACCACGTTTGCTATTGTTTACACTACCGCCATGCACTATTAGTCTATCACCATTCACCATTGCACCAACTTGATGCCATCCACCAATTAATGAAAACCCAAGGCCTAAACGTTAGTCCATTCTTTGTATTATTTATTCTTTGTTCTTTTTTTTTTTTTTTTTTGATAAGTAATATTTCATTAAAAAGCATAGCCAGAACAACTAAACAAACCAAAAAGCTATAACCTCAAGCTATCCACAAAAGACAAAAGAATCTCTTTCTAAATTTTCTCCATGACCAACTAGAGCATAAATATGTTGTGCTTGCATTCAAAATAGAATGACACAAAAATATTTAAATCCAAACACTCCCACCCCTCCATTGTTACTGATATCAAGCACATGGAAAATAGTTCAGTACCACGGTCACATGGTACAACCACCATTTTTTTCCCTATTGAGTAGTACAACCACCATTCTAATATCAACATCTAGTAAGAATCTCCAAGTGGAACCTGCAGATACTAAAACACAAATGGGAATCAAGCATATACATAAGCATATGACAATTCTAGTCAATCCTTTTTGCACATTATACTAAAACAGTAATGGCAATCACGCATATCCTTTAGCATACAACTATCCTAGTCAATGATTTTTGCACATTTACAAAATGTATGCAACAATAATTCAAGAAAGCATACACGTGTTTGCAAATATAATACCAGCTCTATGTCGATGTTTCGTACTTACAGAAAACACTTGAATGGTAGCCACCTATTGGTTGAAAAATTAATTAATACACCTTCAAAGGAAAGGAGACTCCTATTGGGGCGTTGAAGTTCTCCATTATTAGCACTCTTTTGTTGGGTTCTACGGAGAAATTGTAAATCCGTGGAGGAGATAGTCGATTTTTTTTTTTTTATTCTTTGAGAGTTTAGAGGCCCTATTAGACTTATGTATCTTCTGAGGGATGCGTTCCCCTTTTGAATGCTTCTTTATACAAATATTACTTATAAAAATAAAAATAAAAATAAAAATAAATAAAAAAAACAATCAATCAATACACCTTTAAGTCCTAAGTAGCACCAACAGACACTAAAAGACATGGATGCACCAATATAGCAAATCCTCGGACACAATACCACACAGACAAGTCAATATTGAAAATCCTATAAAAGTAAGGTACAGACATGATGTGGACACATAAATATATAATATAAAAAAATGATCGCGGATATCAATTATAAAAGACAACTACAAAATTTTGATTAATTTTTTAATTTCTATGCTAAGAATTGCATAATACAGAATATGAAGCTAAATAAATATCATAAATATAATTATATGTAATTTGACTGCGACTATGACCTTAGCAGAACGGATTCATGTAATCATCCCCAGGTTAGTTGAGAAAAATCTTTGTTGAGTTGATTTAAGTTGAGTTACCATTATCTCCTTCAATGGTGGTCTTTGCACCCACGGATTTAACATCGTCAAAGTTATGGTAAACTTTCCTTGAGGTTTGGCTAAAAATCCTGAGGTTTGGCTAGAAGTACAATCAATTCCTAATATTAAATGTCCATAAGTGTCAAAAGAAATTTTATGTTGAATGCCGAGATTATCTTTAATTAGAATGAAATTACACAGTTATGGAATTACCCCTCTAATCTTTCTAATAATGGATTTATCCTTGTGATACCCCACAGTCCTCATCCACTTCACTCATTTGATTCCGCCGTCATCACAACCACCACCACCACCACCTCCCTCAACGCAACTCCTTAGTTCACGTTCTCCTCCTTTGTTCATTGAGATCAAAAGGCACCAAACATAAACAGTGGTTGTTTGTTTAGTGAACTCTTCATTTCTGAAAAACCAAGGGTTCAGTGCTATCTTGAGTGCACTGTTCATTATTTCGTTGTTTATTTAGTGCTTTGTTCGAAAAACACCAAACAGAATTGGGTATTGCACTGGACATTTTCTTTGATATCAACCTAGAAAACCTCCACCAGCAGAACACCAAAATAGAGAATTCCAATCATTATGCCAATTAGAGTGAAAACCTCTACCAGTAACTTCTATGTTCTTTGAAATCAACCAAGGCATGTCCTTCAGTAAAATGAAATGTGTGAGCCCGAACCTCATAAGAGATTCCATTTATTTCACCAAGTGAGTAGGCTAGAATCTCTGCGCCATGACATAAATTGGAACAGTATATGATTGTGTCAAGATCTGCATCAATGATCAAAACTGTTGCACTGTCACCTATCCCTTTTGTTCTCTCCTTTCTCTTTTTCTATGTTCTCTCCCCTTTCCCATATTGCTCTCCGCTCAGAGAGAGTGTGAGAAAAAGGATACGATGTAAAGAAAGAGAGGATGATGATGGTTGATAGTGGTGGTGGAAGTAGGCGGTCATGGCTGAGGCTTCAAAAATTCCATTGAGTAGATGGTGTACAAAAAAAAAAGGTGAGAGAGAGAGAGAGACTGTGTTTCTTAAAGGTGTAGAAATTTAGAGATTTCAATGGGGTTAATTCTGTAATTTCATCATATTTACAGTGACATCTGCAAATCATTTTTTTTCCAGCTATAATAATAAGTAAAAAAAATTTCAATTTGCATGAGCTGCTATGGGATGTTAGTAGGGCTCTAAGTCTAACAGGGGTGTTAGAGTAACATATATGAAAGTTTAATCTGTGGACGTAGGTGACAAACCTAAAGAGAGGTCATGGTTGTCTATCCTATACTATATATGCAATTCCTACTCTCCTGCTATGTTTTGTCAATAACTACATTCTTTATCCTATATTAAAAAGTGTTATTGCACACTTGATTAGTAGTAATCATGTATACAATGCTATATTTTCTTTTAAAAGAAAAGGATAGACACTTGGGGTAAGTTCATCTTCTTTCCAAGATTGTCAGGCATGACATTTTATATGCGTTTGTACTACAAAAACATTTGCTATCAACAACTAAGATGTGTCAATTAGGTATCCAAAATAATAATTCATGGTCAACACTTGCATTGTAGAAGTATCCACGCTTCTTATGCCAAGCCCAATAGTGAAAAAAGTTTAACATAAATAGAAATTATTCTTATATCCATACACATGAGAGAAACATATGAAGCACAAATGGGCTGAGGCATATGTAAGCACTGAATGGTTAAGAGGTGATGTGCGTCCATTATGCTTGTTCTACCGTCTTACAAGTACCTTTCACAATTATCCTTCATTGAGCTAAGTTTTAGTATTTATCAGATCAAAACTACTCCCTTATCCAAAAATTAAGGTGTTGGCCTAACATAACAGAGTACTTATATATGTATGCGTATGTATTGCACACTTCCAGTCCAGAACTGCTCATCTTTAATGTATATATTTCCATTCAGAGAAACACGGGCACAATGTAAAAGTAAAGCCATATCAATTATAACAATTGATGAACCCAATTACTGAAAAACAATATCAATTCTAACAATTGATGAACCCAATTACTGAAACAACACTAATTGATCAGAAAATAAGTATTTATCTCCAAATAGAGACACAATGAACATGCTAGACCCAAAGGGTATAGCGGAAACCACAAAGCAAGGAAGCTAAGCATCTATATATTTATATTTATATTTATATTTATATATATAGTCTGTAGAGAGAGAGAGCGAATGGGACCTCTCCGGTGTGAGAAAAGCAGTTGTGGAGGTAGGAGTCGTCGATCCAGTATTGTAAATCGCCAATCCAAAGGGTACGTACTTCTTCGAGAGAGGTAGGGTGATGGTACGATTGAGAAGATGCTGTAATGGCCGTTGATGGCTGGTGTTGAGCCTGCGCGCTCATCATCCATTGCTGGTGTTGCTGTGCCTGTGCTTCCATCTCTTTCTCACACAGTTTCTCTCTCTACGCAGTTTCTCTCAGTTCTCAGTTCTCAGTTCTCAGCTCTCTCCTTCTCTTGTACCACTGAGGAATGGGTTTCGAATTAACCCCAAGAGATGTGTTATAGGGCTGCAATCATCATGCGCTCGGATAGATGATCGAATAAGAAAAGACACGTTTGGCAATAATATTAAAAGCTTTGGTTTTTTTTTTAGGCTTTGTAAATCGGTGAGAAAACAAAAATAAGTGACAAAAACATATTTGTAAATTTTTGCACTATGTTGCATTTATTTTAAAAATAATAATTCAAATTAAAAAAGAAAAAGAAAAATTATTTACATTTTTTTATTTATAACAATAAGAACCAAACATTTTTCTATTGTTCACTGCTTGAGTGTTGTATTTCTATTCGGTTCTTGTTCATATTTAAGGCTATAGTTTTAGACAATTCACGCGTTATTGTATCATTTTGTACTAATTCTACATAGGTTAACTTTGGTCTTCCTTCTCACTAGTATTGGCCTGTGGACTTTACTTTGTCAATTTTCCCAACTGGCGCACAAGTGTTGTTTTTTTTATTATTATTATTATTATTATTATTATTATTATTTTTTCAACTCCAAAAACCGTCATCAGACTCATAACCAATTTTCTCTACTTTTATCTCTATCCAATTAGTGCCACTTTGCCCAACTCACACATGATTATTTTTAATTCTATCATATTTAGTCATATCCCACATCAATCTCAACATTTGCATTTCTGCCACACCAACTTTATGCAAATGCTACTTCCTAGCTACACAATGTTCGGTACTATAAAGTATGTTTAGTTTAATAATGAATAAGGCTGCAAGTTGGGTTAGCCCAACCCAGCCCAAGCCCAACCCAACCAGATTCAGGTTTTGGTTGGGTTAGGCCAACCTGATTTATATTCAACATGGGTTATGATTATAACACAGCCCGAATATTTTTGGACGAGTTGGGTCGGGTTGATGGTTTGAAAACTTTTTTTTTTTTAAAGTTTTTCGTTTTTGGAAATTTATATATATATATCTATATATATATATATAATTTGTTTTTAGCCTTCCCCAATCGCCTCTCTCTGAACTTGCCCCCCCCCTCTCTCTCTCTCTCTCTACAACAACTACAAACTACAAAAACTTCAAAGCTCATATATTTCAGTTTCATCTATCTGCAACAATCAAAAGTTCAAAACCCATATCGACATATCATTTCAGATTGTTCAAAAAAATCAAAAACTAGATCTTTCAGTTTCCATCGCCCGCTGTTCCAGATCGGGTTCGCCGTTCACCGTCGGCAAAGCTTCAACCGCTGTCTCTCAACTCTCAACCATTTCAGATCATTCAAAAAATCAAAACCCAGATCTTTCAGTTTTCATCGCTCGCCGTTCCAGTTCGCCGTTCGCCGTTCGCAAGCTTCAACCGCTGTCTCTCAACTCTCAAGCTTGCCCCCCTTTCTCTCTCTGCAACTGCTACCTTGAATGTATGGGGACGGTACACAGAGAAAGAGAAAGAGAGAAAGAAAAGAGAGAGAGAGAAAGAAAGAAGAGAGAGGAGAGAGAATGGAGGGGAAAAAAAGAAAAAAAAAATTATTTTATTTTTATTTTTGGGTTTTGGGTTGGGTTCGGGTTGAACCCGAGCCCAACCCGAATATGTCTGGGTTTTGACAAAACTCAACTCGAACATGAACCCGATTTGTAAACTTAAAGTCCAAATTTCAAATTTTCGGGTTGGGCTTGGGTTGGGTTGGGTTAGCTCGCCCAAGTTGCAGCCCTAATAATGAATATATGTGTGTGTGTGTGTGTGTATGTAGTAATATTATGAGACAACTGAAAATGCAAAGTTTTCATAGAGAGAGAGAGAAAGACAGATAGAGAGAGAAACTTTTTTCTTTTTCACTATCCCATTTCACTATACATGAAGCCTATTTATAGGCATATACTGAGGCTTCTCTTGTAAGCCAATAAAAACAATCTTACTCCGTACGCCAACAGGAAAGTCTTATGCCTTTAGGAATTCGTAGACCCCACTTATTGATATACATAACACTCCCTCTTTGGGTCCACAAAATTACACTAAGAATATACCTCGTTAAAACTTTGCTAAGGAAAACCCAGTGGGACAAAACCCTAGCGAAGGAAAAAGAGTACAGTATTCTTATGTATCTTGAAAATGGTATTACATAGATTAAAAACTGCCTCATTAAAACCTTGCCAGGAAAACCCAGTGGGACAAAACCTGGACAAAGAAAAAAGAGTACAGTATGCCAATACCTCTTCGATCAATTGCTCTCCCTCATTAGATCAACCCTGAAGATCCTTTAATTGACGCATTCTAATGTTGTGCACCAACTTCTTGAATGTTGTAGTTGGAAACATTTTAGTAAATAGATCTGCTAGATTTTCATATGAACGTATCTTCTGAATATTAATATCACCCCTTTTCTGGAGTTCATGTGCATAAAAGAATTTTGGTGAGATGTGGTTGATCCTGTCACTTTTAATATACCCTTCCTTCATCTGTGCAATGTATGCCGCATTATCTTCGTATAATACTGTTGGGCTTTCTTTTATTGATGAGAAACCACATGTTGTTTGAATATGTTGGATCATTGATCTCAACCAAAAGCATTCCCTGCTTGCCTCATGAATTGTGAGTATCTCAGAATGATTTAAAGACGTGGCAATCATTGTCTGTTTCATAGATCGCCATGATATAGCTGTGCCGCCACAGGTAAACACATATCCTGTTTGTGAATAGGCTTTATGTGGGTCAGAGAGATAGCCGGTATCTGCATATCCAATTAATTGAGAATTTGATATTTTTGAATAAAATAATCCCATATCAGTTGTACCACAAGATATCGCAATATGTGTTTGATTCCATTCCAATGTTTGCAAGTTGGTGCAGAACTGTACCTTGCTAATAAATTGACTGAAAAAATTATGTCAGGTCTTGTGCAATTTGCAAGATATAAAAGAGCACCAATCGCACTGAGATAGGGCACTTCAGGACCAAGGAGTTCTTCATCATCCTCTCGAGGACGAAAATGATCTTTCTTGATGTCAAGTGATCGGACAACCATTGGAGAGCTCAATGGATAGGCTTTATTCATATGAAAACGTTTTAGAATCTTTTCGGTATATGTTGATTGATGGATGAGAATACCACCTGTAGCCCAAGGCAGAATTTTGTCTTTCCGAAATCTTTTATTTCGAATTCTTTCTTTAAATAAGTAGCCGTCTTTTCGATCTCGTCCAATGTTCCTATAAGATTCAAATCATCAACATATACTGCAACAATAACAAAACCATATTCTGATTTGTTAATAAAAATGCATGGACAAATATGACTGTTCACATACCCTTTTTTGAGCAAGTAATCGCTAAGGCGATTATACCACATTCGTCCAGATTGCTTCAATCCATACAAGGATCGTTGTAATTTTATCGAGTACATATTACGTGGTTTTGTTTCAGGCATTTTAAATCCTTCTGGAATTTTCATATAAATATTACTATCTAGTGATCCATATAAATATGTTGTAACCACGTCCATTAGATGCATATGCAATCTTTCCATGACCACCAAATGTATTATGAATCTAAAAGTAGGTGCATCAATCACAGGAGAGTATGTTTCCTCATAATCAATACCAGGTCTCTGTGAGAAACCTTGAGCTACTAGTCGAGCTTTGTATCTCACAATTTCATTTTTCTCATTACGTTTTCGTATAAACACCCATTTGTACCCAACAGGATTAACACCCTTTGGTGTCTGGACTACTGGTCCAAATACTTCACGTTTAGCTAATGAATTTAGCTCTGCTTGTATCGCTTCTTTTGATTTTGGCAAATCATTTCTTCGTCGACATTCTTCGACGTTTTGAGGTTCCAAATCCTTATTATCAATATCAAGAGTAACGAGATATGAGAATATGTTGTCAACAACAATTTCATTTCTATTCCATCTCGTTTCATAATTTAATGAGATCTCATCATTTTCAGGTACCTTTACCTCATCAAGGGCATGTGCCTCATCAAGAGTATATCATCATTTGTTGCTTTTGCCTCATCAATATTTATTATTTTATCATTTTTAGGTACCTGAGACTCATCAAGAGCCTCTGCCTTATCAAAGGCTATTATCTCAGATTGATCAATAATATTTGTTGCTTCTTTTGTGGCCTCTTCAGGAGTGCCAGCTTTTCTTTGTGATTTCCTCTTACGAGGAGCAGTATCTTTTGCACCAAATGGTCTGCCACGCTTCAGGCGTGTTTTAGATGCATTTACTGCATTACTAACAGAAGGTCCCTCAGGGACAACAATTCGAGCTGGAATATTTGCAGCTGGTATATGTGATTTTATCACTTTCTTTGTATCAGTAAATGCATCAGGTAATTGATTTGCAACATTTTGCAAGTGAATGGTCCACTGAACTTCTCGTTCACATTGATTTGTACGAGGATCAAAATGAGACAATTCCAGGGCATTCCAAGTAAGATTACGTTGCTGTTGTGCCTTTTCTCCCCCTAATGGTGCGAAAACAGTCTCATCAAAATGACACTCAGCAAATTGTGCTTTAAAGACATCACCTGTAAGGGGTTCAAGATATCTAATAATAGATAGAGAATCAAAACCAACATAAATTCCAAGTCTACATTGAGGCATTTTAGTGCGTTGGGGTGGTGCAATTGAAATATATACAGCACAACCATAAACTCGTATGTGGGAGATATTTGGTTGTTGACCAAAAACAAGTTGTAATGGTGAGTACTTATGGTAAGCAGTTGGTCGTATACGAACTAATGATGCAGCATGCAATATAGCATGACCCTAGGCAGAAATAGGTAATTTTGTTCGCATAAGCAAAGGACAACCAATTAACTGAAGTCTTTTAATAAAAGATTCAACCATACCATTTTAAGTATGAGTGTGTCCAACAGGGTGTTCAACATTAATTCCAACTGACATACAATAATTATTAAAAGCTTGAGAAGAAAATTCAGCGGCATTATTAAGACGGATTGTCTTAATTGGGTAATCAGGAAAGTGTGCCCGTAATTTGATGATTTGAGCAAGGAGTCTAGCAAATGCAACATTACAGGTAGAAAGCAGACAAACATGCGACCATCTTGTTGAGGCA